ATGGAGAGAAAAATGTAAGCTAGCAGTACTAATCCAGACATATGTGAAAGGAATATCCAGCAAGAAAGAGCAATAGCGTATACAAAGCAGAATGGCCACCCTCAGCTATACTGATGAACGATACCAACAAGAACAATAGGTCCGAGTCTATACAGGTGGGTCCGCACAAAATGTAGTTACAAATAGTGGTGCGTGTGTGTACATAGAATTATAGGATATACCCTCCAATCAGAATGGTACTAGTGATAAGTCCAGTGTGTCATAATTATGAAACCCAGACTATCAAGACAGCACCAGAGAAACTGCTACATACCAACACATACCTCACATTCTGTGGTAATGCTGACATGCGAAACCCGTACTTGAAGCATTTTATCTGGAAAACTACTAAATTGCAAACACTGCTGACACAACTCAGCTGTCAGCGAAGAGCCGTAATACGGTGGATACTGTCCCATTTTACAGTGCCTGGAAATGAGAAAGCTGACCAATTGGCAAGGGAAGAAGCAGCCGGATGTACCAGTTATATACAACCAAAAGAAACAGATCATTAAATCGACCAGGAAACCACCAAACCACCAGCCCCAGCACAAGATTACTATTGTATTTTGAACAGATCAGAAGAAGCTATTATCCTTCGCCTCAGAACAGGGCACAACCGATTTCGTCGCCATATGCACAAAAAAAATTCAAGATTGGCGTATCAGCCTTGTGCACTTGTGGAAAGGTACCCCAGACAACAGAATATGTACTCCAGGACTGCACTGAATTGGATATAATAAGGCAACCCGTTTGGCCAGAAAGAACAACAGTGGAATTTCAACTCCACGGACCACTGAATGAACTATAGACGACAGTGACATTTTTTCGAGAAACAAACATTGCTGATATAGACAACTTATTGTAGGCGAGCGAAAGAAGAATATAATTTTGAAATAAAAATCATTTGTACTAATATTAATATGGTAATGCGTGATTTAATTACAGATTAATAACACGTTTCGTTATTTGACACTTTGGTGTGTGTGGATGTGTTTCTGCAAGTTCCTGTTAACAGTGCTTGCGATTTTTATGTTTGTCCTCTTTTAAATCCCATGTTGTTATGTTCGAGGAAGGGCCACATACTCAATTGGGGAACACCCCAAAAAAGGTTAGAGACTACTGGGCTGCACGCTCGCCAGTGGTCAGAAGGTTTTAGCCGCAAATCGGCATCGAGACGTATCTTCCTTTCAAAAATGATCTTGGCCCCCAGGCTGACCCACCTCAAAATGGGTCCCACGTAAAGCCATAAAAGGCAGTGTGATGCTGACTACAACATCCGCCCAGTGACGACTGGTCTACAGAACGATGTCTAGCATAATATGTCCTATGCGCCGTTGGTGTCGAAAGGGTCAACACTCAAGTCACCCGAGCAGCGTCAAGTCAAATTACAGGAAAAAACAGCACTAGGCTTCTTCTTCTTTTCCTTCGCGTCCAGCACTGGAAACTCCGGCGCACAATTCTGGTTGGAGGGTCTATCCTATGGCCCCAGAACCGGCCCTGGATTTAGGCATACACTTACTAAGCTACAACTCAGAGCCTCACAATCTGCATGGGCCTAAGAAAAGTCTTTTTTTTTTTTTTTTAAATGCAATTTTCTTTTAATATTCATATTTCTTTTAAATGCCCCAGAAATGTTCTAGTTTTATTAATATTATGTTGGGTATATTTTCTTAGCCTTTTATTGATTCTAACTTGTTGCTGTCTGTTTCAATTCAATAAAATAATTAGCTTGATAGGCGTCAACTCCACCTTTTATTATTCTTCTTTTGCGGTCTCACTATTACCAGGTGTAACCCAGTGTCGTGGTTTTCTGTACTTGTCTTGCGCCTCCCATGTGGCTTGAGCCCCGAATCTGTTCAACTTTTTGCTTGTTTCACCTTCACCATTTATCCATCTCTTTCTTGGTCTTCCTCTCGCCTCCCCCCCCCCCTCCCTTCCCAGATGTTCTACAGTAAAAAAAATATCCTATGTAGTCTGGTCTGACTGCATTCTCAATAGATTTCTGTGTCAATATAATCCAGACATGGTCTTATTCCAACTTACTCTCTAATGCAGGTATTCGTAAACCTGTCTCGTATAATGTTGCTAGTGACCTTGCGACCGTGGCTCCCGAGTCCACCCTGCCTTGAGGTGCAGTCCTGGGATTTAAAATGTGGCCGGCGTGATGTTGACCATATCACCCATCAAGTGCTGACTGATCTATAAAATAAAGACCTAGCCCTATATGCCCAATACGCCTGAGGGCGTGGAAAAGGGTCTCTCACTTTAAAAAAAAAATCATAAGGAAAATGACTGGATCCTACAGCAATATGGTCATCACATGAATGCCAACGACTATGATGGCAGGGGTGTTGTCATGACATGAATGCCAACGACTATGATGGCAGGGGTGTTGTCATGACATGAATGCCAACGACTATGATGGCAGGGGTGTTGTCATGACATGAATGCCAACGACTATGATGGGAGGGGTGTTGTCATCACATGAATGCCAACGACTATGATGGCAGGGGTGTTGCCATGACATGAATGCCAACGACTATGATGGTAGAGGTGTTGTCATGACATGAATGCCAACGACTATGATGGCAGGGGTGTTGTCATGACATGAATGCCAACGACTATGATGGCAGGGGTGTTGTCATGACATGAATGCCAACGACTATGATGGCAGGGGTGTTGTCATCACATGAATGCCAACGACTATGATGGCAGGGGTGTTGTCATGACATGAATGCCAACGACTATGATGGCAGGGGTGTTGTCATGACATGAATGCCAACGACTATGGTGGCAGGGGTGTTGTCATGACATGAATGCCAACAACTATGATGGCAGGGGTGTTGTCATGACATGAATGCCAACGACTATGATGGCAGGGGTGTGGACACACAGAAAATGTTGCGGTGGTTGAGCCCTTTTAAAGATTTGCCGATAGGAGGCCTCAGGAGCCTAAGCATACTTTAATTAAGTGTTTAATAATGATGATGATAACAATTCTTTTTATTATTATTACATTCATTATAACATAACAATAATAATAATAATAATGGTAGGAATTTCCAATAAATCTACTAATAGTTTTGAAAAATAATAAAATAATATTATGGTATAGACATATGTACACACACACACACACACACACACACACATGAACAAATAACTTCTATACTCCAAGGATGTGACTGTGTCTATACTCAAAGGATGTGACTATGTCTATACTCGAAGGATGTGACTGTGTCTATACTCCAAGGATGTGACTGTGTCTATACTCCAAGGATGTGACTGTGTCTATACTCCAAGGATGTGACTGTGTCTATACTCCAAGGATGTGACTGTGTCTATACTCCAAGGATGTGACTGTGTCTATACTCCAAGGATGTGACTGTGTCTATACTCAAAGGATGGGACTGTGTCTATACTCCAAGGATGGGACTGTGTCTATACTCCAAGGATGGGACTGTGTCTATACTCCAAGGATGTGACTGTGTATATACTCCAAGAATGGGACTGTGTCTATACTCCAAGGATAGGACTGTGTCTATACTCCAAGGATGGGACTGTGTCTATACTCCAAGGATGTGACTGTGTCTATACTCCAAGGATGGGACTGTGTCTATACTCCAAGGATGTGACTGTGTCTATACTCCAAGGATGTGACTATGTCTATACTCCAAGGATGGGACTGTGTCTATACTCCAAGGATGTGACTGTGTGACTGGGGTGGGGTGTGGAAGGTCCTCAAGATCCCTATCACACGTGAAGTCATTGATGGAGAATGGAGCGAGAGGCAACAGAGTGGGTCCCCCCCCCCCCCCCCCCCACCCTCCTTTTTATTCTGATCATTCTGGTGCCTCTCCTTGTTGTTCGTCGTCGTAGGCTACAGGACAACTTAACATCAGGGCTCCTACAGAACATATAATTATCGCGAACAGTCAAGCAATAGAAGAAATTGAAAAATATATATGCAGTGAAAATAAAGTTACTTCAGATGGAGCTTCAATAAAAGATGTAAAACATGAAACATAATTTATCAAGCTTGACAAAATAAAAAAGTCGAAAGGAATTAGTCTGAAGACAACACTCACATTGGAATACTATTATACAAGTTATAAAATGACAACAGGAATTACACAAAAATTTAAGAGGTGGAAACAAAACAAACACAAAATGTATAATATTTTCGTTAAACAAGATCACATGATGAACAAAGGCGGAACAGAAAATGTTCATCATTGGCAAATATTATCATCATAGAAGATGAAGATAATCTGACATGTTTGCAGAAATGGCTAGCGACACTTTTGCAACGAAAGCTCTCTGATAGACGACAGATAGAAAAAAGGACTCGTGAACGACCTAACGAAACTTGGAAAAGGACATGAGACCGGAAAATGAAGGAGTGCACAATTATAGGGAATACCATGTGCAGAAAAGCCACAGACCAGCACAAATGGGACTCGCGTGTGAATGCTTTCGTGTCAACAGCGTCATGAAGACGGAATCCATAGATGTCTCATTTTTCTGCATAAGCCTCTGACTTCTGACGTCGCCTCTCTAGTTTACCCGTCAGTATTTCTTATTTGTATCATCGTCCTTATTTTTATCATCCTCGGCTTCCGATATTCACAACAAAGTATCTGGAGTGGGGATTGGGGTGTGGGGGAGGGGAGATATAGTGCCGGTGCTCGTGTGTGGCAAACAAATGGTGCCGGTACTCGTTATCATTCTTTCTGTACCGTTAAACGTCACAAAGGGTTGGCATAGGTTTCCTCAACTCAGCACTACTACATGCAACTTTCTCGATTTCTGACTCTGGAGTTCAGCACAGCATTATTTTTTTCCCTCTTGTAATAAAGTTCTTCTTTAATGTTTCCATTGTACGTCCTTTTTTTTCTGTCTTCGACCGTCAGTTTACCCTTTCAGCGCCTGATTTGTAATTCTTTGCTCACTTCTTCTCAGAGTGTATCCAGTATATATTTCCCCCTTCGTTGTCTTATTACAGTCGATATAGATATATGTTGTTTGTGACAAAATGGCGATTCAATAAAAGGGCTTGCACTGTGTACCACTGTGTACGGTGGTCGGGAAGGTGGCGAAATAGGAGGGGGGGGGGGCGTGATAATTAGTTTTGCCATGTTTCTTATTGTTTATTTAGTTGTTCTGGTTGTCGTTGTTGTCATTGTTTTTATTATTATTATTATTATCATCATCACTATTACACATGAGGTTCTGATTGTTTATGAACATTGGTGATCCATCACTCATCATTCGTCAATTCCACGTAAACAGACTGGCACGTTTTTCTCCAACGACTACGCTCGGGGAAAGTACATCCGGTCTTCCATCGAAATTCAATTCCGGGTATTAGATTGCGAAATTCCAAATACCCCCGGCTAAACACTGAAATCCGCCACAATTCTCTAGTCGAAACTTTAAAATAACAGATTTTAATGAACTTGCTTGTGAAATTCAACTAAGGACTAGAGGCGTGTGTACCCAGAGCATCTATGTGGTTATTTTGTGTTTGATGACCTCTCTCTCTCTTTCTCTCTTTCATTTGTTCTCTCGTTCTCTCTCTTATATTTTCTCTTTATCTCTCGCTTTCTCATTAGCTCTCTCTACCTACCCACCTACCCACCCACCCACCCACCCACCCACCCACCTACCTACCCACCACCTACCCACCCACCCACCCACCTACCCACCTACCCACCCACCCACCCAGCTACCCATCCACCCGTCTATCCATCCACTAGTCTATCCATCCACCCGTCTATCCATCCACCCGTCTAACCATCCACCCGTCTACCCATCCACCCGTCTATCCATCTATCCGTCTATCCATCTATCCGTCTATCCATCTATCCGTCTATCCGTCTATCCATCTATCCATTTATCCATCTATCCGTCTATCCGTCTATCCATCTATCCGTCTATCCGTCTATCCGTCTATCCATCTATCCGTCTATCCATCTATCCGTCTATTCATCTATCCGTCTATCCGTCTATCAGTCTAACCGTCCGTCTATCCGTCTGTCTATCCGTCTATCCGTCTGTCTATCCGTCTATCTGTCCGTCTATCCGTCTATTCGTCTATCTGTCCGTCTATCCGTCTATCCGTCTATCCGTCGTCTATCCGTCTATCTATCCGTCCGTCTATCCGTCCGTCTATCCGTCCGTCTATCCGTCCGTCTATCCGTCCGTCTATCCGTCCGTCTATTTGTCTATCCGTCCGTCTATCCGTCCGTCTATCCGTCCGTCTATCCGTCCGTCTATTCGTCTATCCGTCCGTCTATTCGTCCGTCTATCCGTCCGTCTATCCGTCCGTCTATTCGTCTGTCCATCCGTCTATCCGTCCGTCTATCCGTCTATCCGTCCGTCTCTCCGTCCGTTTATCCGTCCGTCTCTCCGTCCGTCCGTCTCTCCGTCCGTCTCTCCGTCCGTCTCTCCGTCCGTCTCTCCGTCTGTCCGCCGGCCCGTCCGTCCGTCCGCCCGCCCGTCTGTCCGTCCGTCCATCCATCCATCTGTCTGTCTGTCTGTCTGTCTGTCTGTCTGTCTGTCTGTCTGTCTGTCTGTCTGTCTGTCTGTCCACCCGTCTATCCATCCACCCGTCTAACCATCCACCCGTCTATCCATCTATCCGTCTATCCATCTATCCGTCTATCCGTCTATCCATCTATCCGTCTATCCATCTATCCGTCTATCCATCTATCCGTCTATCCATCTATCCGTCTATCCGTCTATCCGTCTAACCGTCCGTCTATCCGTCTATCCGTCTGTCTATCCGTCTATCCGTCTATCTGTCCGTCTATCCGTCTATTCGTCTATCTGTCCGTCTATCCGTCTATCCGTCCGTCTATCCGTCTATCAGTCGTCTATCCGTCTATCCGTCCGTCTATCCGTCCGTCTATCCGTCCGTCTATCCGTCTGTCTATCCGTCCGTCTATCCGTCCGTCTATCCGTCTATCCGTCCGTCTATCCGTCCGTCTATCCGCCCGTCTATCCGTCCGTCTATCCGTCCGTCTATCCGCCCGTCTATCCGTCCGTCTATCCGTCCGTCTATTCGTCTATCCGTCCGTCTATCCGTCCGTCTATTCGTCCGTCTATCCGTCCGTCTATCCGTCCGTCTATTCGTCTGTCCATCCGTCTATCCGTCCGTCTATCCGTCTATCCGTCCGTCTCTCCGTCCGTTTATCCGTCCGTCTCTCCGTCCGTCCGTCTCTCCGTCCGTCTCTCCGTCCGTCTCTCCGTCTGTCCGCCCGCCCGTCCGTCCGTCCGCCCGCCCGTCCGTCCGTCCGTCCGTCCGTCCGTCCGTCCATCCATCCATCCGTCTGTCTGTCTGTCTGTCTGTCTGTCTGTCTGTCTGTCTGTCTGTCTGTCTATCTGTCTGCCCGTCCGTCCGTCCGTCCATAAAGTCTGTCTGCCCGCGAATAATTTTCAAGGGGCGGCGGCGAGAGCTGGCGGTGCTGATGGTACTTATGTAATCGAGCAATACTAATAATAATTGTTTCCATTATTACTGCGCAATTAAACAAGACTTGAGTCTCTTCGCAGCCAACAGAAAATTATGGGGAGAGTATTGGGTTCCCCTTCCCCCACCTTTTCTCGCTTCAACATGGCGGCGCGTATGACATTAACATTACATGTATTAGGTATAGCAATGGATCGTTTTGTTTCGTTTATTTTGCTATACATTTTCGTCGGTATCTATAGACGCGATTGCGACCTGAAAATTTGAAAACCAATTGTCTGTTATTCAGAAATCATTTTTCTGTGCTCTTTACGTGAAAGATAAAATCGGAAAAGTTATTAGAAGTTATTGGAGAGATGCCAGGCTTTGACCTGAGATGGTTTTGACGAGTATAAAATAAATCGATTTTTTTTTTGGCAGCACGCAGTGAATAACGGTAAGTAATTTCGTAAATATCTTTTTAATTAGCCAGATTACCGCAATGTGTGTTGTATTTTTGAATTCTGCGTTAATTTTTATATAAGTGTGGGAAATTTCAAAAAGATTGGCAATACAGCACATGTTTAAAAAAAATTGTTTAGTAGCATCACTGTTTTGGCTTTAAATTCAATATGTTTGCACTAGGAGACCGTTTTTCCCGCTTTATAATTAACTTAAAATAATTATTAAATTAGCTAACGTTATTTTAATCATTTTTTTAAAAATCCACAACCATTGTAGCATTTGTTCATGCATCTGTCATTATTTAGAGCCATTCGCATTCTCTGTTGGATATTTTTTTTCCTGATCACCCTCAAATCCCAATAATTAATTTCGGCCATCATTGCGCATTTTCTAAGATTATTCTTTAGTAATTAACTGCAGATACTTAGTAAATTAATAATGTTGAGTTACTTTTTAAACATCTACAACTCTTGTAGCATTTTTTAATGCGTCTGTTATTATTTAGAATCCACGGAATTTTCAGTCGGAATTGGTAAATCTAAGTGGTCGAGAAACAACAGCAGCGCTGACAGCGTTCCCTTTCATCAGGCCTGCCAGTACTTGGGCTTTCCCCCAAGAACTGGGTTTTTTTACGACACCTTGGGTTAAGATTTTGGAATCTTTTTTTTTTTTTAAACATATATATCCTTATATAAAAGTGGGTAAATGTTTCATTTCGTAATTATAAAATTAACTATAAAATATGTACTATTTGTCAATTTTTTTTTCTTATATATTGCTTGTGTTTTTGGTAAGCTGTCACATACCGCTCGTGTCGCGTGCCTGATTGAAGGATTTCTCCTTAAGAACCAACAGAACTCTGAAATAAAATAATGTTGAGGCGTCGGATATCCCGTGGCCAATATACGCTCAACTTATTTTAGGAGTAGGGCAACTCAAGTTCTGGCACTACAGAATATCTACTAATCCTAATCGCAACTTGGCTGGACACCCCCACTATTATAACAAGAAAGCCTCCAGGATATGATAGTATACTATCACAGCCATGTTAACACAGATTAAACTTACTAATCACACAAAAATAAAAGCTAGACAGTTTGAACAGTAAATGATGGACACTCAAGTCAATAATGAAACTTTCTGAACATGTAATAAATGCAACACATACATTATATAAGAATCAGCAAAGAACTTCAAGAACCCAGAGTGATAGGAAGGACAAAAACTTCAAAACAGATCTGACTGAATGTGTAAGAGATTCCCAAGGTCCGCCTAGATCATCATCATGATCATGTGGACGATTAACAGTGAAGCCCGGCAATAAACCAATTGACCACACTTATCTGAATCCCTGGTTTCTTGAACTTACTGAATATTCAGTCACTGTGTTGTTACGTTGAAGACAGTCCCACACTAGACACTCGAACACTGGTGATACACACAAGCTCCTGGAGAGGATCTCGGGTACCAAGTCAATCACTTAAGGCACAAACAAGCTTCCGGATAAATAATGGTGAAGGTACAACACCCAGTTGCCTAGTTCTGTGTGGTCACACAGCTGAATCTTTCCTCCCTGCAGCAGCGGCTAACTTTATAGAGACATATATCATGGTACTCGTAAACTATAATCAACTTATCCAAGCTTAGGAATCCTTCAAAGATTAAACTGGTATTTTGAATGCGCCAAGATTTAATCAGAGAGGTGACATACTTCTGCACACCTAGGAAGTCAGGCAAAGAATGACCCTGCCTGATCTCGCTTTGCGTCTCTAGAAAAAAAGTCTCGTATAAGTACACCAAGGAGTAAAAAGGTTTCCAGGTATTCGGAATATTATTCCAGAAAATATCTATCCCACAGTTGCAAGTTTGAAAATGTAGACTTTTCAAAACAACTAGAGGGTATAGAAATATCTATTCCATCAGATAGAGGTATATATCAATATAATTGACTATATACCCACCGGACGGGTTTAAATTTGAAATGTGACCTGCCCGCTAGGGGCGTCAACGTCACGACGAGTCTACTGTGCAGGGTTTGGTTGATTCACCTCTTGACATAAGCTTAGCTTCAGGTTTGACAAAAATTCCATTGGCAACCCTCCCATGCTTGGCTGTCCGCGTGTGGCTGCTATAGATCTATTTCTTAAATTCAATGCTGGGTGGACATGGGAGCCAAGGTCATTTTTGAAAGAGAAAAAAATGCGACCTGACCTGATTCCCAGAAATGAACACACCTGTTGTGTTTGCCCTGTTGTTAACACTGTCACCGACCCATTATAAAAACAGGCCGTGTACTACCAGTGGGCTCATGTTTTCTTCTACCATATAGAAGGGAGAGTTGGGGGGAGGGGCAGTAGAAGATTGAGAGAAAGTTGAGAAAGAGAGGGAGCAGGAGGAGGAGGAGAGAGGAATAAAAAAAGAGACTAAGAAAGGAAAGTCGACACTGAGACATGGGGAAAAAGAAAGGAAAGGAAAAAGAAAGAAAGATGAGGAGAGATACCAGGGAAAGAAGGTAGCAGGAAGGGGGTGTGGCCATCCCGGTATCATCACTGTGGGGGGGGGGGGAATAACCACCCCAGGTGTCATTACTGTGCGGAGATAGACCACCCCGGGTGACATCGCTGTTGCAAAAAAGGGAGGGGGGGGGGGGTTCCGGTATTTGTTAATTAGGTCACGTCAACTGACATTGGCACATTTATATGATCTTTATGTTCGCCTTGCCAGGACACACAATATGATATGTATTAAGCCAGGCTCGTTGGCAGACAACTGTAAATGTATACGGTTTTAGATGAAAAATAATCAGCCTGCAGACATTTTCCTATGTTAAATAGGCGCATATCGTAGTGTATGTAATTGAGACATAAACGGTTAGATCTCACTGTCCCGATTCTAGCAATATATGGTTGCTAAGGGATTCGTTCAGAAACAAAAAAGTTATGGCCGTAAAATGCAAACATTGAGTCATTTCATCTCACTGGGTTGCAACCGGAAGCCATATTTTATGGATTTCCACTACAATTTTTCTGTCGTGGCGTCCGCCACTAAAATGTTAATATCTCCACTTAGAATCGACTTACAGGCTTAAATGAGGTACCATTGGATTTGTAATTTTAATTTTCATCTAGCTGTTAAAATTTCGTAAGTAAAAACACAAAAAATAAAACGTCACTACCATCCCTACATGTATGTATGAGGAAGTAAACTAGACAAAGCCATAACATGCATAACTTAAAGTGAGATGTGCTTCCCGGGAAAGGGCATCGAAAAAAGGGAAACGAAGAAAACAGAAAGACATTTACTTCAGTTGATAACATCTGAGAATAGAGTCCTGCCGAACACTGTAAAAACGATCTACCATAATGGGAAGTACGAGAAGTCTACCGCAATCACACACGATGAATGAGCTTTGCGGTTAGAAAGAATTCACCAGTATGAGACACAAGCAGTATTGTAAAACCAAATAGTGACGTAACCCACATAGGGACAAAGACATTAATACAATCAAGTATCCAGGAAAGACGGCTGAATACACACATCAAATTCTCTGCTCAGTACTTGCTTCATCGCCTCTCTAGAGATGGACAGTGTATTATATTCAGACTAAGGACGGCACAAAAGAACACAAGTTCTAACTTTTCGGTGTAGAAAACACGGAGACCTGTTCCTACAACTTGGCACCCGAAAATGGTGAGCATGTATTCTAACACTGTCCACTGTATGCTGACAACACAGACGTCATCTGGCATGTTCCAAACCACACTGAAGACAAAACTGATGTACACGAGAAGATATGGACTGCAAAATAGCTTTCATAAAGGCTTCCGTCCTCCTGGATGAGTTTTCTGACAGAAAGATAGAAGAAAATGAAGAAGAAAGACGCAAGCGGACACTGATACAATTACTAACATACATAATATCACTTAGCTTTACCTGAGACCTATCACAAAATTCCCACGGATGCTTGAACAGCAGACACTCGGCGTTACTTGTCGTCGTGGGAGTTAGAAACAGAACCGACAGGGGACCCAGAGACGTGATTCGATGAGAGCAAAAGACTCACGCATTACGGTCAGTATGTTTTATGGTCCATTTTTCGTTCTTTAATCTCTATAAATGCTGGTAACAACCGTTTAAAGGCAAAGAAGAATGTGCTACACTGAACACATCATGAGAAGAAACAAATAGAGAATAACCCAGACAGGCTCTAAAGGGACTGAGGGAGCGAGGGCCTCCAGAAGGAACTCTAAGATAAAGGTTGCTCGAAGAGGCCATCTGCACTCAACTGGATTCCATCCATGTTGTAGAGAAGACTGCGCAGGATAGACAGGAAAAGGGGCCTAGACTGCCCTTCGTATGTGATATTTAACGGCACAACACGATAATGGTTATGATGGTGATGGCGATGATAAAGGTGATGATGATGGCGATGATGAAGGTGATGATGATGGTGATGACGTTCATGATAATGATAATGAAGGTTGTTTACAGAGTTTAACTGCGCTGGACTGTATTCCATCTGTGATGTGTGAATAAATCAAGTAACAGAAAGTGTATTGATCGGCACTCATAGAAAGAAGTAGATAGATAGAAGAACACACTAGACAACATAAAAATCGAAAGCTATAGTTACCGTGCCTCGAATTGAACCTGTCACCTCCAGACAGCGTCTGCGCCTCGCCATGAATACAAGTGCACTAAGAACATGGTCAACTATGCACCCCCCAAAAAGGTGTCTTATTGTCTATCGTACAACTTGAAATACACAACTATGGAATACGGACAGAATTCATTTCAAACCTTTAAATGTCACCATAGGTTACATAAATTTATATTAACGAAGCAAATGTCGAATAACAATCACAGCAACAATTTACGAGTGGAGAGGACTGGCCCGGTTATACGGGAATGTGGGACTAGGCTGCCAGTCATAAATAATATTTAGAGGTAAAACATGATAATGACGATGACAGTGATGAGGATGGTGATAATGATGTATAATGCGCATTAAAAGACATATAACATCTTACAATCTGTAATGAAAGGGTCAACACGTCCAGCTGGCGTCAGCAATGAACAGCTAATTTGGCATTATATATGTGTCGGGTTGTTTCCGGCGGTGTCTTTCTTCGTCTTTTGACTTCTTCTTTTTCAATGCAGATAAGAATGTCTGCAATTAATTTTCTATATGTTCTATGTGTTCTGTTCGCGGGAACAGTATGACAAGGGCCGTGCTGCGTGGAAATGGACGGGGTAAAATCGGCATGGGAACGGGGACAAAGAATAAAACTATCGCAGGTAGTCTGAGAGGTAAGCGTCTGAGAAAGTAAAAAAAAAAATCCCATTGTTGGGGCACATAGGGCTAGACCTAGGTTTTATAGACCAATCGGCACTGATGTGGCCAACATCATGCCGGCCACCTTTACTTTCCAAGACTCTATCTGGTACCCATTTAAGGTTATGTCGACTTGGGAGCAAAAGTCATTTTTGAACAAGTCCGGCTCTGTCATGATCTGAACCCACGATTTTCAGATCCGCAGGCAAGTCTCTAGCCGCTACACCACGGCGGCTCCCTGAGTGTCTGAGAAGAACGTTAAAGACATGCGATGATTTAATCAAGTAACATAAAGTGTATTGATCGGCACTCATACAAAGAAGTAGATAAATAAAAGAACACACTAAACAACATAAAAATCGAAAGCTATAGTTACCGTGCCGGGAATTGAACCTGTCACCTCTAGACGGCGTCGGCGCCTCGCCATGAATACAAGTGCACAAGTGTCTTAACGTGAACAAGTCTTGCTAGTCATACTCGCCATAGCCTAAGACTCCTGTATCACAATATTGCATTCGCATCAGGAAAAATGGTTTTCTCCCTGGTGGTGTGTACAAGTTTTATGGAGAGCGTGAAGCACGTCAGTTGTACTTGTACAAATCTTCTTTTAACACTGTCTTCAGTATTCCTGTGTGCCTTGTTCACATGAGATCAAAAATAGCAAACATCACGACAAAACAGTGTCAACCATCAAACTGATATTTGGACATAATTATCATCTGTCGGCGTCTGTGGCTTAGTCATTCTGAACGCGCTGTGTAATGCCGGGGTGCCGGGACCGATCCTAGCTGCGAATCTTGCGCTTTGCGTTGGTTTTGACAGTATTATCAAAGAGTTAACCGTCCAGAAAGCAATGACAAACTACTGGACGTAAATTTACCTAGACAAACCGCAGCAGCCCGAAAATGCTGGGATTTGTTCTGCAATGTCATGTAAAGGATACGTAACTAACATAACAATTATCAGTTGCTGGTGATTGTTTCTGTTCTGTTATTTAACACTTTGATTGATGTGTATGTTTTCCTCCAAGGTCTTGTTGATAGTGCCCGAACTTTTTTTTAATCACTTTTTTTTTTTCATTTGCGGTTGATTGGGGAGGGGGAAAAGGGGGGGGGGGGGGCTCAAAAAAAAAAGGTTGCAAACCACTGGTCTAGAAAGAAAGGAAGGTGCCCGGCTGTTAACTCCGGCAGAAAGCTCTGGTTGTTCGTCCACTTCTGGATGTAGGTCTTGTTTCATAATTTTTTTTTTTTTTGGGATGGTTCAACAAACTTTATTCACAAATGTAACCCAGGATCATCACTGCATTGTTCCATTTTATGTCCTCAAGCCTGCTAGTGGAGGCCTTCCAACAAAACTGGCAGTAGGCTGGGTGACCTAGAGATGTGGAAGCTTGTCAAAGTCCAAAGTCTTCAGCATCTCCTTGGTATCTGGATCAATTTCAATTATATCCATCTCAAGTGCAGAGACCTCGGGTACATAATTGTCTCTCCTTTCTCTCTCCTCTTCCTGCAGCTTAATAGAGATATTTCTCACAAGCCCTTTTTGTATTCTCCTCATGAGATGTGTAACAAACCCTGCAATTTTGTTGCGAAGCTACTTGCTGGGGATAATTGCAATCTCCTCGCAAACTTGACTTCTAGGCGCACGACAGTGTGAGTGATCTGCCTTATTTGTATAACAGACTGTTGGTTCATCGCCTTTTGGGTAGACATACTCCGACTTTGAAGAAAATATCCATAATTAGTCGTCTTTTACGACATGTTTGTTAGAGGCAGTCTGTCTTTATTTTCCTCTAAATGAAGACCCAGAACAAACACGGAGACTAGCGAAAATATGATAAGCAGAGTAACAGTGGTAATAGTACTAACGGCGCTGTCCGGGTAAAATTTGGAGTTACAAATACACCCAGGACCGTCGCCGGTGCTACGAGTTCTTCTAGTCAGAAGTAGAGCGGAGTACTTATGGGTTACTACCCTTGTGCCATGATAGTCTGAACCTAAACCTAATAGTATTTGTGTTGTTATTATTGTTCATAGTCGTAGTTCTATTGGTGTTGATGGTGGTGACGGTGGTAGCAGCAGCAGCAGCAGCAACACGTGTAGCAGCTGCAGTAGTAGTATTAGTAGTAGTAGTAGTAGTAGTAGTAGTAGTAGTATTAGTAGTAGTAGTAGTAGTATAGTAGTAGTAGTAGTAGTAGTAGTAGTAGTAGTAGTAGTAGTAGTATTACTAGTAGTAGTAGTAGTAGTAGTAGTAGTAGTAGTAGTAGTAGTAGTAGTAGTAGTAGTAGGAGTAGTAGTGGTAGTAGTAGTAGTAGTAGTATTACTAGTAGTAGTAGTAGTTGTTGTTGTAGTAGTAGTAGTAGTAGTAGTAGTAGTAGTAGTAGTAGTAGTAGTAGTAGTAGTAATAATAATAGTAGTAGTAGTAGTAGTAGTAGTAGTTTTGTTGATGTTGCTTGTAGTTATATCACTAGAAGAGATATACTTGGTGTGTACATATGTGTCGTATATCTCCTAACATGGATGCACACACACACACACACACACACATATATATATATATAATTCATAGAATATATTTTCCTCAGCCTCTAGGTTTTTCTCCAAAACTCACACACAAAATACCAGAAGTTTATACCCAACAAAATTCCCCCAGACATGTCTAAATTAATTACGCATCTGGAAAATCGCACATACAAAAGACATTAATGTCAAAATTAACTGAGCGAGGAAAATATTTTAAAAGACAGCTTCCCTCACGTACCTCGATAAAGAAAAAAACAGCATCCAGACTTTATCCATAGAATACATCTCGTGCACACTCGTCCTTGCCCAACCATCTGTCAACGGACAGGGAGAAAGTAACGGCCATTGATCTCTCTAGGGTTACAATTTTCGTGGCCTGGCCGTTTTGTTGTGGCGTCCAAAGCACGCAATTTCTGTCGGGCTGGTGCCGACGACAAGACGAGAAGTTGTTTTCTGTTTCGGTGGTGGATACTGGGAAAGGTTGAAGTCTACTCTGAAAGCTGGTTCGTGAGGTTGAGGTTGTGGTTAGTGGGAGGTGCAGACGACAGGCCCGCCATGTTTTGTGGTCAGATATTTGGGTAATTTGTGTTTCAAAGTGAGAGGATAGGTTTGGTGGATGGAGGGGAAGAAATAAAGAAATAAAAAGGTTGCTGGAGAGAAAGAGACATATGAAATGATAGGTTTGGATGTTGGAAAGGAAGAGACAAACGAAATGATATGTTTGCTGGTTGTCGGAGAGAAAGATACGGGCAAAATGATAGGTTTGGATGTTGTATAAGGAAGAGCGGACGAAATTACATGTTTCTTTGTTGTCGGAGAGGAAAATAAGGGCGAAATTATAGGTTTGGATGTTGGAAAGGAAGAGACCAGTGAAATGATAGGTTTCTTTGTTGGAAAGGAAGAGCAGACGAAATAATGGGTTTGCTTGCTGGAGAGAGGGAGATAAAGAAGGGGTAGGGTTGGTTAATGAATGGAGAGACATGAGAAATAAAGGTTTTTACACTGTAGAAATTGATCGAGAGAGAGAGAGACGGGGGGGGGGGATGAAAGAGAGAAGGAAGAAACGAACAAACGATCTTAATTTTCAGTGTCACAAATTACCCACGGAGGCGTGTATTACGTTTAGCTTTTCCAAACACTCATCTTTCACATAGCAATTGTTTTCTATCTGTAAAGCATGTTGTCTTCCTAGAACAACACATAAATAGACTATGTAAAACAAGCTAGTTTCATGTAACAATATTCATGAAATACACGATAGCATGGGTGGTATATGAATGCAAATATACATACACATAAAGGAAGAGAGTTAGAAGGAAAACAGAGGAGGATAGAAAGGTTTTGTAATTGTGTTCGTCAACTAGACTAGATAACAACTGACATACGATTTAAGTAGTGTGTATGTGTGTGTGCGCGCGCATGTGCGTATGTGTGTGTATGAATGTGTGTGTAATTGTTGAGTTGAGTTGATTCAAGAACCGACATCACAGAACTCGGGTCATTTCCATAAGCACTCCGTCCCCATCTTAAGTAGCCAGCGCAGAGTTCCGATACTAATGGTGCCAGTAGCATTCTGATTAAACATCCGTCTTGCCTTTTCTCTAAGCCTCAAGTGTCTGCCAGAACGTCACTCCCCCTGCATCAATCTCCCCAGAATGTGGTGATCTATCTGCTCCTCCGAACTCCGAAATGTGAATATATATATATATATATATATATATATATATATATATATATATATATATATATATATATATATATATGTTTATATATATATATATATGTGTGTGTGTGTATGTGTGTGTGTGAGAGAGAGTGCGCGTGTGTGTATGTGTAACTGAACAGGTAAAAGTAGAATACAGTATTAAAAGACCCATTTAAGGCTGGGTCCACCAGGGAGCCAAGGTCATTTTTGAAAAATAGTCTGGCTCATTCTGGACCTGAACCCCTCGACATTCAGATCCGCGGGTGACCGTTTTGCCCAACACCATGGCGGCTCCTTGATAAATAATGAACTTTAAAAATGAACAGTAAAATATTTTTTTTTTTTTTTTGCAATGGAAAGTGTAAGCGGCAGTTACAGCCGTTTCTTGCTCCCCCCCCCCCTCGCCGCCCCCCCCCCCCTCCCTCGGCCCCCCCTTCTCGCCACTAACATAGCTCCACAGTGCCTTTCCTCGGGACGCCTTTACTGCTTGTCTTTCAACACGCGAGGCAGTTGATTTGTTGAAAAATTTGAAGACAAGCACGGTTTTAGGACCAGGGGAATCTGGCCATCACTCAGGTGAAGGGCAAAGAGGGACATACTGTCAGCCTGCTATAAATATCACCGGGATGTAGCTGAAGATGGAGACGAAGCTCTTCTAGCAATGTCCAGAGTGCTCTGTAATATATATATATATATATATATATATATATATATATATATATATATATATATATATATACAGTTCAGCAACCAGGTCGCCCACTGGCTTACCGGTAGACGACTTCGTCGCTGCTCACGTCAGTATTTGGTCTGTCTCCTTTGGTCGCATCAACACTTCAGGAGTTTTTTTCAGAGCTCCTGATGGAGTGCAATGCTAGGCCACAATGTTATATGGCGCACACAGTTTAGTTACAATTATAACCTAAAGTTCCCCCTTCAGGGATGCTGGTTGAACGTGATAATTTTTTTTATTGCAAAGCATCGCATTGCATCGCTCTGAAATAGAGCCTTAAATCATTTCAGCTAAATTCAGCCCAGTAACACAGCTCTAGATGTCTCTTCGTCTGTCAACTGGATCACTTTTTTCTGACGTGCTATTGGCTGTCAAAACAACGTGTGGAATGCCAGCCTCAAAAGCTTTCAGCCATTTGATCCTACACTAACTGTAGCAACAACAGCTGCTGTATCGGTGTGGTAGCCGGTGACAGGTGAACTGTAAAAACCTTTTTAATCAGTAGATTACCCGCGTGGCTTCCAGCGCCCCATAATGGGGAAAACAACAAATAGACCAGGCCCGTCTTTAGCGCATTGATCATTGTTGACGACGTGCAGAGCTTCATGCTGATGTGTGTGGTACCAAGATGAAATAGGCCAAGTAGGGGTAAAACAGTAGTTACTTCAATGCTTTCAAAATGTAGGGCTCGAACGCTATGCGTTAAGTTCCAATGGTTGTATTGATATATACAATCAGCAATACAAGGAGAAATACATATGCAATCAATAATCAACTCGTTCAACCAAAGCTCACTCGTACATCCGTGGACGGTTATGTCCTTACGATAGGTCGCAGTCCGACCTTGAGATCCAGACGATTTACTTTCTCCTCGGACAAGTCCGAATTAAGCAATGAAAGTATACCGGCATACTGCCGAGAATGTAGTGCTCACCAGCTTCCTGCTGAGGTCTTGGAGTCCCGGGGTAAAACGTCCTCAAGGATCCAACTTTATATAACGTTTGCTTCCGTGGGATCCCGGGGTAAAGCGTCCTCAAGGATTCCCACGTCCGTCTCCTTCGGACTATAAACATCAACTGCTTTGACAACAATATTATCATAACAACGTTACGTATTGTTTTGACGTCTTATTTGCTCACTCCGTACTGGTGCGTTCTGGTGCACATTCGCACGCGACAGCTTTTCCCCCCTCCCGAGGACGACCGAGCACTAGGGCTTGTCGTAGTCTCGGTCGGAAAACTGGAGTCATGTCGCGGCAAACAGCACCAGTACGAGAGAGCAAATAAGAACACTTGAATACACACACACTCACTCCTCAATATATCGTCAATACATTACTAAATGCATGCAAAATATAGATTCCTGACTTCACTAAGCATTATTATCAACAACATTATTGTTATCCAAATTATTTTTCATAACATCATGCATTTTAAATATCATGTAAATTGAACAAATAAACATCAATCGTCTTCCAATGCCTCTGGGGTGCGCGACAAAAAATCGGCTAAGACATTCTCTTTCCCTGGGCGATAAATAACTGTGAAGTTGAACGTCTGTAGAAACATTGTCCATCTTAATATGCGTGAGTT